TAGCCTAAACGCTTGACAACACTTGAGCCTTTCTGTCCTCAGCTCCTTGGCTCCAAGGTCCTCCCATCTCTCCACACCCGGCACCCCCATCGCCAGCCGGGCTGTTGTCACTTCCTGGACTTCCATGTAGGACAAGCCACACCGCCCTGCTAGTCCGTGCCCTGCAAATGACGCGTTGCCACCCGTGGTGGGCCCAGAGGAGCCTGGCCATCCCGCCAGCGGCCCGCCTGCGTTTTCTCCAGAGTAGCATCGGATTCTGTTCCGTGACGGGTCCCTCACTGTCGGCCAAGCCCACAAGCCCTCCCCTTCCACGTGGAAAGCAGAGCGCGTCATCACGAGACCCTTCTCAGCCCCACGGTCCAGCCAACCTCTCCCCTCGTCCTCCTCTAGCGTTTAACTATGGTTGAGTCTCTTCCATCTTAAACATAGCTTAGCCGCCGCCGGCCCAAGCCCATGCCCCTCGCGAGGCTGTCCCTGCTTTCCCCTATTTCGTCTTCCTCTGGGAGCCGTCTCCTGCTGGCCCTCCTCTCCACTGATTTAGCTCCTGCCAGCGTCGGCGAGACCGCCTTGTTCGAGCTCAGCCTGTCGGGCTCCCCGCGGCAAGTGGGAGGAGCCCCTCCTGGAACCCCCCTCCTCTAAGCCTCTATGGCCCTGCTGTCCCAGGAATTTAGTCTAGCATGCCACTGGTCCCCAGTGTCCCCGCCGTCCTCTCCTGGACAACACGCCTGCTCACGTTCTGAAGCTGGCCTCCTCCTCGTGGCTTTACCTCTTGGGAACTGCCATCCAAAGCCCAGACTCCTCCCTGGACTCTAGACCCATATGGCCACTTCCTACTACCGTTTGCCCTTGGAGGCCTCGGCCCCCAGACTCAGTGTGCCCTGCTGGCGACCCTCTGTCCTGCTCCTCCGCCAGCTGTGTGCGCACAGGAGCCCAGACCCTCCCTGACAGCCTCTGCCATCCTTCCAGTGTGGCTTCGGCTTCTTTCTGCTTTCGGCCTTCCAGAACTTCTGCGTCTGCTCCCTCTGCCTGCCAGTTTGGGACGCCAACAGAACGTCTCCCATATGGGGACCTCCCGCTACACTGGAGGTTCTGTGACTGCAGGGCTTGCATGCACCCGCCCCTGCCATGTCCCCAGAGCCCAGCTAAGTAGATGCTTCAGGGAGAGTGAGCAGGTGGGTGGACGGCCCCCCAACTGACCTCCAGACAGCGGCCAGAGTGACCCTTCTCAACCCAAACTATTAGATGCTAAATAAAATGAAGACTGTGTCGACTCCCCACTGCCCGCCCTGTAAGGCCCAGTCTCACAGCAGATCCTGCAGGCCTGTAACGGGTCGGCCCTGCCCGTCGGTGCCCTTTCCACCTCACCTCGCCCCCCTGTGGACCGCACTCACACCTGAGGACATCATGCCCCAGGGGCTGCAAGCTTCCGCCCCACTGCCAAGTTTGGACTGAGACCCACCGCCCCAGCTCTGGGATGATAGTCACATAATCTCTGTGGCTCCGTTTCCTCACATTGAAAATGACCCCTAGGTCACGGTAGCCCCCAGTGCTACCAAAAGGGTGCAGTGAGTCACTGTGAGGTGCCCAGAGGGGCCACCACACACAGTCAGTCTGGAGTTCTAGAACTACAGTGAGTGGTGGAGAGGATCTGAGGGGGTTATCGTCCATCTGCACCACAGCCCTATGATCCTCCTCGGCGATTGGCGTGAGTTCTTCCCTCCTTCCCGAGGCCCCTCCACTCCCTCTTCACCCACTCTCTCTCTTCCACCTTGTAGACTCCTTCACAAACCCGAGCCTCAGCTTAAACATCACCTCCTCCGGAAGCCTTCCCTTACCCAGGGCTGGGACTAGGGTGAGCCGAACAAGCCACTCACCTTGGGCACCAAACTTAACAGTCAAGAGTAGAAATCTCAGTAATTAAGATAGGTCAGTCTTGGGATGAGCAGATAGCGTAATGGTTCTGTCGCTGGACTCCCACAGGGTCAATCACGTTTCAAGTCCCAGACCGGGCAGCTTAAATTCAAGACAGACACGTGTGTGTGCGCGCGCGCCCAAAATCCCAAGAGGAAAATGGAGGAGAGGGGATTACAGCGTGGCCATCCTCCCAGAGAGTGATCTCTTACTTTCTGTCTCTCTCTGGCTCTCCAGAGAGCACACACACCCTATAGCAAAAATTTATCTAAAAAAAAAGATAAGTCTTCATACGTTTGCAAAACCCAACAAGATTATGGACTCGCCCCATCGCAAAGGACAGGTGCACAGGAAGCCAGACCCACGTGGCCACATGGCTGACTTCCCTTCGAATCCCAGCCCTGGCAGCCTGAAAACACTGCTGGGCGTGTGTGCGCTGTCCCAAGTCCTGATGGGGTGGAGAATGTTGGGAAGGGCTCCTGCTCTCAGTATGCCCCATTGGGAGGTCCTTTCTCTCTCTCCCTCTCCCTCTGGCAATGAAATAATAATAATAACAAGTAAATAAATAATACAGTTAATGCAACGTGATCGTGATAAAATATCTGCATTTTAAAAAAGCCAGGCTCAGACGGGACAAGGACGGTGGGAGGGTCTTCAAGGGCAAGGTCAGCCTAGGCTTCGTTTATTATTCTGTTGGGATTTCTCTCC